TTTATAAAAAAATTTCAAGTACATTTATTTTTATAATCTTTAATTTCCTATCCAACGATAAGACTATAAAATTATTGCAGATCACAATGATCGGACAACAAATAACTGAAATATAAAGTCGTTTGTTTATTTGTAAGATCAAGCAAATGTAGTGCACTCGGACTATCCGACTAACTTTGCCTTATTTTTACACCAAAAACTTTATATTTCAGTTATTTTTCGTCTGATCTTGTTGATCTTGGTATCGTTTGACAGAGAATTCAAAATGCTAAAAATCGTCAATCCGTTGATACCCTTTTAAATGACAAAAAAACTTTAACATCTTTTTAAGTAGGATGGGTGAATTATATAGAATGATTTTAAAGCTTGAATTATCAAGGCGACTTGAAGAGGGCATGCGATATACGTTAAAATTTTCTCAGGCCATCAAAGACTTAAGTAATGTGTGTTAATACAGCTAGAATATTTCTGGAATAGGGATGTAGCAACCAGCAGCATGGGCTCGGGGGTAATCACTTAGAGCAAGTAGTGTTTGGGGATCATATTTTATTTTACCTCCCAGAAGATCTCAGTGAATAGCATGTCTGTCTAGTGAGATTTTAGTTTATTAGTTTACAAGTTATATAAGTGTATATTAATGTAAATGAATATATAGTGGTCACAGTCGAGTTGTAGTTGTTCTAATATCTTATTATATTATATTCAATCACTTTGAAATATATACAGTGTTACCTCAATAACAAGATAAGTGTTGTTTTCAAATCCGCTGGAATTTATTTTACTCTATCACATATTATTGCAAACCACCATAATAAGTAAACCTTGACAGCAAGTCATATTCCCCTTAAAAATTTTTTTATCGATTTTATACTGTGTTTCATATTGTTATATCCTTATATTGTTATGAATGCATTATCTTTTCAGAGTGATAGGATGAAAGTAGTAAACTAGTACTAAATAACTACTTAAGTACATACGAGTAAATGAGTAGTAAATAAAGGCAGAGGTGACTCTAAATCTGTACAGCTCTTTGGATTTCATTTGATTGTAGATATGTTAGCGATGATCATATAAATAATATTTGTAAGGAGTTTAAGGCGTCTTTTGTGATGTATAAGCTTAGAAAATTCGTTCGAGTATTTAAAAACACTCTAATTTGTTTTTTATCCCATCTTTGTAATGAAATTTATCTGTGGGAGCACATTTGTGCTGTAAATAATGTTAGTTTCGTTAGAAATTAAACTTTAATTTCAAGGGATATATATATATGGAACGTGCGAAACAGATCACCATATTCAACCATATTTATACGAATCCAAATCATTAAAGTAATCTATACATTTGCCATGGTTATTTATACAAAATTACATCCTACAGATTTCATTTTCATAAATGAATTCTAGATATAAGGATAAGTTTAATATCCATCACTCAGATTGGACGAAACAGAAAACTCTTTTAAGGTTAAATGTGTTAAATTTTTGGGGCTAAATGGGTTGCTTCTTGGACGACTGATCTCGTTGGAAAATTTTAAAAACACCTCAAAGCAGTGGCTAATCAAGAACCCATCACTCATAGAGTAAGAGAAAATGCCCCCCTTGAAAATCTGTCTTGGGGCCGTCTATGATAGGACTTAGAAGAATCATTAACGGTAGTTAATTTACGGAGTTTTTATCGTAAAATGAGTGCAGTTTTTACGTTCCGTTTAACGAGACTTTACCTGGTAAACCAAAGGATTGAAGAGTCCAAGAAAAAACGGGCTAACCCCGCGAAAGTAAATTGTTCAGGAGAGCCAAAAAAAGGTTTTTCAGGAACTAATTGCCAGCCCATTGGTTTAAAACTTGAACGGAGGTTGTCCCGTTCTTGCCTCCGCTCATTGTGAGTTGTTCCGTTCTTCCCCTGGTTGCGTTTTTTCAAAAGTAATTTACTCGTATAAAGAGCCCGTTTTTGTCAATTTTCAATTTGGCAAAGTGTTTAGATTTAAAAATGTATTTTGTAAATGGATTTCAAAACCATCCATAACTAGTTTTTGCATTTGTTGAGGGTTAACCCGTTTTCCCCTTGGACTCTTAATTTATATTATCTAAATGTACCTAATAAATCTTCCATTCACAAACTTGTAAAGGCGGCCGAGAGAACAGGCTATGTATAAACCCAAAATCATAACAGAATTTATTTTGGGTTTAATTTTTATTTTTTCTGTATGTATTTATTTGTCTGTATGAATGAAGAATCGTTTGAAGAAGTTACCAATTTTTTCAATACCCATGTAGAAAACCGTGATTAAAGCAGCGCATTCAGACACCTAAATCGAGAAATATCAAAACGTCACATTATTTTAAGTGAATCGTCAAAAGAAATACACGAAGAAGCTTGTTCACTTGCAAGTAACATAAAATACTAAACCTTGATATGCATGTGTCGTGGGAATATAGAGGTTTCTTTATTCTGGTGAAGTAAAAATCTTTTAAGAAGATAAACTAGTTGCCACGTATGTCCTCGTTATCACATGATAAGCTTCAAATTAGGTCAGTAATCCATAGTTGTGGCACAGAAAATCAACAATATCAGGCAGGCAGAAAAACCAAAAGCTATGGGTTTTCAGCTACATGAAAAAGTAATTCAAATAAATAATTCAAACCAATATGTCTTTACCTGTCAGTTCAGCTCCCAACCCTCGCATTTCGAAATATTACAAAATGGTAAAAGTGTAATAGTGTATTTTGTTTGGTAATAAAATGATTGCTTATAGAATATTCAATGCTGTTCATATCCAACTTCCTCTGTCTAAAATAGTTTTCTTTTTGTATAAACTATTTGGCAAATTATTTTTTCCAAGCAGGGTGAAGTTAGTCTAGTTGTAAGTATAGTTTGACATTTCATTGTTAAATCACTTTTATATATTTCACAAATGCATTCATGCTGAATCAATAGTCACAATATTCTGTAGAAATACAAAAATATGAACTATTAAATTACTTCATGTTAGAGAAAGCTGCTAAGTGACTTTATTGTTGGTTTTTATTCCAATAGTTCTAAGGAAGCATGTTTTAGCATTTTTTATTCAGCTCTTGCACTACCTGGAAAATCAATTTGGGCAGAAAAATACTATACAAATGTTTTGTGATTTTATGCTAATTATAAAATGGTGGAAAAACTACTTATGGTAGCATTTTATGTTAGCAACAAAAATTAACCCCATCATCATTCTCTTCCATTTAAATGGTAGGATCGATAAGATAAACATATACTGCAACAATTGAAACCAAAGGGGGTTTTTTTTTCTTCAAGAAGGCTGAAACGGAACATCACAGTGGCCACAGGCCTTTCCTAAAAGTGAAAAAGTCAATTTAGATAAAAACATGATCAGAATCTAGACCGTTTCCTTACAAAAAAAGCTCAAAGTGTTAATGCCGTGAAATACACGAAGTAAAATAAATAGAATCCTCCAAAAGCTCTTTACTATTTTATTTAAAAGTGACGCCATACTTTTAAAAAATGTCTAAAGTAGGGATGGTCAAGTCTCGAAATTTCGGGAAATTTTCGGGAAATTTTCAATCTCGTTACACGAGACGAGATTACTTTTTGGCCGAGATTTTAACCGAGACGAGAATTAAAAAAAAAAAAAAAAAAAAAAAAAAAAAAAAAAATTAAAAACGCCTGCAGAAAGTCAATGCAATACCCGCAATACAGGAGCGTGTTGTAGTTGCGTTTCCTTTTCGAAGGCGTTCTTATTTAATTAACTCTTTTAATGTAAATATTACTTTCATTATTTTAATAATATTACTTTAATAACATTTGAGAAGTTTTGTTAAGTGTAAGCAGTGTGAGGAATGTTTTATTACTATAAAAAAAGTCAAAACAAGTAACTATTTTATAAAAATTAATATTGCTTTTATTTTATGATTTATTTTATTTTAGGATAAGTTGAACTCTATCCTAACTGATATCACCATGTTTCCTAATCGTAGGCATTTTTAATAAGTTAGGCGTGATTAATAAAAAAATGTTATGCTGATGTTATTTAATGAAAGATTGTAAATATTCTTGCCTATTATCATTATTTTAGTATTTAAACAGTCATCTAACAATGTTACAAAATCAGGTAAAAATTTTGAACGTGCATTTCCCGTTGTGTATGAGAAGAGAAATCTCGTCTCGATCTCGTCTCGAAATTTTATGAGAAATAAAAAATCTCGTCTCGTCTCGTCTCGAACTAAAAATCCAATCTCGTCCATCCCTAGTCTAAAGGTTTAAACTAGATTTTAAAAAGCGTATTATCAAAATTAGAAGAAGTTCAGGAAAGTATGCCAGAAAGGATATCATGAAATTAATTTTTTAATCTTTGAGTGACTAAAATAGTAGGGAATAGCTGTATATACAGAGTGTCCCAAAAGTACAGCCAGGAAATGGTTCTATTAGTGAAAAACAAGAAAAAATGGATTATGGTTTTCCCAAAATCGCTTCGTTAACCAGATATCTGACGTTTGTATTTTTTACATAAATATTTTTATCTTTGGATTGTTCTAACAGATCGTTATGAAACTTGGCATGTATGTTATGGCAAAAGATACCTATGTTATGAAAGAATTGACTTGGTTCAATTCAAAATTCCAAACTAGTGGCCATTTGATTTCAATAAATGAAATAAAAATATTACAGATTTCATAAATAAATTCCAAAACTCATCTATATAGCATTTAAAATGTTGCTATCAAACTGCACTAATTGAAGGCAGTCGAATGAAATAATAGCTTAAATGAATAGCTTAAATATTTTGATTTTTAGTTGCAAAATGACGTGCAACCTAGCTACTAGCTTGGGCTTGTTCAACCACATTTGTTGTTCGTTGTTTACTTTTGGGACAACAAGTATAGAGTATATTGGGATATGCCTAAAATATTATTTGCCCCTTTCATTGAACAATGGCCATAGTAGAGGATTTAGGATGTAACTTTAGATTTTGACGATGAAATGTCAACTCTCAGAGTCCAAGACTTATGCCTCAAGTCACGTTCTGTGAGGTTTCAGACATTATCGACAGCTCAAGCTATGATGCTATGTATACTAGTGTTATCTCTATCCGACTGTAAGTTTAGCTTCGGAAGTTACGAGTATTGATTGGTCCAGAATTGTGCTCTACCGTAAGTGCTAGTTATGGGTTCTGCACCTAAATATTTGGGGGCCAAAGTGTTAACGATTGTTTGAGTATGCGGGAGTTAATCCTACTTGTTAAGGGATCAAGCTGGTCTAGTGGTATATCTCGGGACTTCGGTACCTGAGGACCCGGGTTCGAATCCCGCCAAAGCGCAAATGTATTTTAAGTGATAATGACGCAACCCCTAGATCTAGCCTGAAATAATGTGAACGCTCTTACAAGCTGAAGCCTAGCGGACTAGGACAAAGAATCCGTGCTAGTCACGTTTCTAAGCACGAAAAACAATCCAATTAATACTAGAAATGTATAACCAAGAAACTTAACCCAAAACATATTTTTAAGTTAAATTAACGCAATTAACAAAATGTGTAGCACTACAACTATTGAATTCAATAATAAAGGAAGTTTGTTTGTACGAAAAGTGTAGAAAAATGTTCATCTCACATTTCCAATTTGGATAACCTTGTCTGGAAGAGATAACAATTTTATGGTCCGCTAAAAGTCTCTTACGACTATAAAAGCATGTTTGTGTTAACGGCGTTTGTGTGACTGCAATGAAAATGTGAAGTTTTATTTTAGGCTGGGTTTTATTGAGTACTGCCAGTGAATTTTGATAGGAATAAAGGAGTTGAAATATTTTGCAGTATTTGATAGTTTTATTGTTTAAGTATATTGTTAGAAATATGTTAATAACAGTCTTTAATTAGCATGTATACCACATGGGTTGTATACAAATTTAGTAAACCAAAATTTTGGTTTTTGAGTATCATGTAAAGTAAAGTAAATCCATATGGTGGTGTTTCGGAACCCCCTATCTCGAAAAAAAGCTTTCAACTAAATTAAATATATAAAGCGCTTCAACGTCACTCTGCCAACTGATCCAGCGACTCTCCGTCGCACTACCAACTGATCCAGCGACTCTCCTTCGCGCTACCAACTGATCCACCGACTCTCCGTCGCACTACCAACTGATCCAGCGACTCTCCGTCGCGCCACCAACTGATCCAGCGACTCTCCGTCGCGCTACCAACTGATCCACCGACTCTCCGTTGCGCTACAACTGATCCCCTGACTCACCAACACACTACCGACTCACTAATACGCTACCGACTCACCATCACGCTACCAACTCACTGTACGTTACCGACTCACCATCACGCTACCGACTCACCATCACGCTACCAACTCACTGTACGTTACCGACTCACCATCACGCTACCAACTCACTGTACGTTACCGACTCACCATCACGTTACCGACTCACCATCACGGTTCCGACTTATCATCACGCTACCGACTCACCATCACGGTTCCGACTTACCATCACGCTACCGACTCACCATCACGGTTCCGACTTACCATCACGTTACCGACTCACCATCACGGTTCCGACTTACCATCACGCTACCGACTCACCATCACGCTACCAACTCACTGTACGTTACCGACTCACCATCACGCTACCAACTCACTGTACGTTACCGACTCACCATCACGCTACCGACTCACCATCACGGTTCCGACTTATCATCACGCTACCGACTCACCATCACACTACCGACTCACCATCACGCCACCGACTCGCCATCACGGTTCCGACTTACCATCACGCTACCGACTCACCATCACACTACCGACTCACCATCACGCCACCGACTCGCCATCACGGTTCCGATTTATCGTCACGCTACCAACTGATCCACCCACTTACTATCACACTACCAACTGATCCCCTGACTCACCAACACTGAACCGACTCACCATCACGCTACCGCACCATCACACTACCGACTCACCATCACGCTACCAACTCACCATCACGGTACCGACTCACCATCACGCTACCGACTCACCATCACATTACCGACTCACCATCACGTTACCGACTTACCATCACGTTACCGAGTCACCATCACGCTACTGACTTACCATCACGTTACCGACTCACCATCACGCTACCGACTTACCATCACGTTACCGACTCACCATCACGCTACCGACTTACCATCACGTTACCGACTCACCATCACGCTACCGACTCACCATCACGTTACCGACTCACCATCACGCTACCGACTCACCATCACGTTACCGACTTACCATCACGTTACCGAGTCACCATCACGCTACCGACTTACCATCACGTTACCGACTCACCATCACGTTACCGACTCACCATCACGCTACCGACTTACCATCACGTTACCGACTCACCATCACGCTACTGACTCACCATCACGTTACCGACTCACCATCACGCTACCGACTTACCATCACGTTACCGACTCACCATCACGCTACCGACTCACCATCACGTTACCGACTCACCATCACGCTACCGACTCACCATCACGTTACCGACTTACCATCACGTTACCGAGTCACCATCACGCTACCGACTTACCATCACGTTACCGACTTACCATCACGTTACCGACTTACCATCACGTTACCGAGTCACCATCACGTTACCGACTTACCATCACGTTACCGACTTACCATCACGTTACCGACTTACCATCACGTTACCGACTTACCATCACGTTACCGAGTCACCATCACGTTACCGACTTACCGACTTACCATCACGTTACCGAGTCACCATCACGTTACCGACTTACCATCACGTTACCGACTTACCATCACGTTACCGACTTACCATCACGTTACCGACTCACCATCACGCTACCGACTCACCATCACGTTACCGACTCACCATCACGCTACCGACTTACCATCACGTTACCGACTCACCATCACGCTACCGACTTACCATCACGTTACCGACTTACCATCACGTTACCGAGTCACCATCACGTTACCGACTTACCATCACGTTACCGACTTACCATCACGTTACCGACTTACCATCACGTTACCGACTTACCATCACGTTACCGACTCACCATCACGTTACCGAGTCACCATCACGTTACCGACTTACCATCACGTTACCGAGTCACCATCACGTTACCGACTTACCATCACGTTACCGACTTACCATCACGTTACCGAGTCACCATCACGTTACCGACTTACCATCACGTTACCGACTTACCATCACGTTACCGACTTACCATCACGCTACCGACTCACCATCACGCTACCGACTTACCATCACGTTACCGAGTCACCATCACGTTACCGACTCACCATCACGTTACCGACTCACCATCACGTTACCGACTTACCATCACGTTACCGACTCACCATCACGTTACCGACTTACCATCACGTTACCGACTCACCATCACGTTACCGACTTACCATCACGTTACCGACTTACCATCACGTTACCGAGTCACCATCACGTTACCGACTTACCATCACGTTACCGACTTACCATCACGTTACCGACTCACCATCACGTTACCGACTTACCATCACGTTACCGAGTCACCATCACGCTACCGACTTACCATCATGTTACCGACTCACCATCACGCTACCGACTCACCATCACGTTACCGACTCACCATCACGCTACCAACTCACCATCACGTTACCGACTCACCATCACGTTACCGACTTACCATCACGTTACCGACTCACCATCACGGTACCGACTCACTGTCGTGATACCAGCTGATCCACCGACTCACCGTTGTGATACCAACTGATCCATATACTCGCCGTATTTTATTTTTAATACAATTATTTCTTTGACCTGCAAAACACAAATTAGCTACCTTCGGTAAGATATTATGTACTTGTCTAGTGTTCGTAGAGTAACCTATGATTTCAAACAAATCATATTTAGGTTCACCAGTAGTTAGGTTCTGTTAATCTAACTTACTGTATGGGATTTTTTTCAATATACAAAGAACTCACCACCCAGCTAGTAGACATCGTTAGCAAAGTTGTATGCGAAGTAATTCTGTGAGTCGTGCCCGTATGCAAAGTTTGGTGAACCTTCCAACACATTATAGACGAATACATGTTGATAACAACTTCTCTTCCTTTAGAAGGTAAATTGACATCCTGGCACCAACTAGTTGTCCTGAATATATACTTCGAGTTCTCGCAAATCGAAACTACGCCTACTGTATGTTAGGTTAAATAATTTAATTGAAAATTTAGTGCGATTTTCCCTGCTTTAATTTAAAACAGGTTTTGTAGCGATGTGACCAGAGCATACCTCGTTGACTTAAGGACTGGCCTACTATTTAGGCCTAAATAGTAAGAAACTTTTAAGTTAACTATTAATGTTTAGCATTCAATAACATTTAACCCCCTTTTGGATGTACAGTATGAGTTTTAACATGCATTTAGGCGGTAACTAGATGAACCCACGGATGAAAGTGGAATTGTATGGCTTTGTCGATAAATTTTATATTATGTATCCAACTGATTATATAGATGAAATTGTTGCCAACCGATTTCCCCAGTTTGGTTGGTAGAATTCAATTTTGATTAATGGTCTAGGAAGACTTTTTGTTTGGAATCCAAAAGGCAATGCAGAGTTTAAGTTCTTTAATAAATTGTTATGCGTATCTCATATTAACACCAGTAAAATACCTTGTTTTCACAACTTTTTTTACATATGTAATCTGATCCAGTAATTACTTGATGACAATACCACAATTACAATACGCAGTCCAACCGTAGCTGAAATATCCCAGTCAAAACTCTCCACAAAAATGAAGCGAGCTATTAAGATATTCAAGCAGATGTATGCATTGCATAACCTAAGCAAATGTTTCCTATTTTGAAAAGCTTTCTCAACATTATTTATGTTACTTCGCAGATTACCAGAATATAGTTTATTTTTTTGAAACTTATTAGGAACTTTCTATTTAAAACTAGAAACTAATATATGTTACGTCCCAGAAACAAAAACTGCTACTTAAAATCTAAGAAATATTATTTTAACAATAAATTTATGAAAAAATTATTAATATGGGCGTGTTTTCTACCTTCTATAAAACGGGGAATCAAGTCATCTTTAAAATTAAGTGCTGAACTCACTGGTAATTATTTATTAGTCATTTTCCTGAAACAGCTGAAAAGGTGAGAAAATGTTAGACTATTTATTAAAAATCGATGTAATGGTTATTAAAAACCGTTGGAAAACGGAAATATGTCGAGATTTTTTCTTGTAGCGTTGAATCTACAGCAAAATATGAGAGGTATTATCAACAAACGTCGTGTATTTCTATGGAAGAGTTCTATAGGATCGTTTTATTTGCTGTGGCAGCTGTCATGCAACTACCGTAGGTTTTCCTTCATTTAGCATCCGGTGGATACGTATATCTGAAAGTTGAGTACCTAAATACAGTATTCGAGTACTACATGTTCAATAAAAACATAATCAATAGATACCAACAGCAGCATATTAGGGTAAACTTAGGATATCACTATGTATCAGAACAACAGAGGAAGTACAATAAAAATACCCCCGCCGCAGCAAACCTCCAGTGAGGGAATTCCCATTTTCCTGATTTTAACATATTTTTTTAATGTTAGAATCTTTCCTGGTTTCAATAACATTACATTAAACGAGTATTGATTTTTGTTCCTACAGGGAAGGTAATAAGGTGCGTTTTTAGTGACATGATAATAATTTAGTATAAAATAAATAAATTTGCATTTTTTTATCAGAATATTTTACTTATCATTAGTTTACATTGGAATTTAAAATTTACAGTTTTATGGAATTTTCTACGTAACCATTAGGCGTAAATAGGAAAAACTTATCTAATTGGCGGATTGGTGAGTCGGTGACTCAGTTGGTAGCGTCGCGGGCTTCGGGCCCAAGGCAGTAGTGTCGTGGGTTCGGATCCTGATCACTGCCACAAACTTTTATCAGGACAGTTCACCTTTGTACTGTACCGGCTCACCCCTTGCTTTGCTGGATACGTTCCACGGACAGATCTGTAGTCTATGTGAACGGGCAAATGCAAGGTTAAAAGAGGCCGCCAACCTCTTTAAAAAAAAACTTGTTTTCCCCATTAAACCCTTTATGAAACCCTGTTCCAACAGGCTATTATGCTAATTCGCGAATCGTTAGAACAATTGTATGTTTACACTTTGTACTAAGTTTCATAAAGATGAAAGATCTGATGAATTTTACTCAAGTTATCGTGCTAACAGACCACATGTAAATATATTTGAACATATAGTAACTTCTCGATGGCAATAAGTTTGCCTTGAACCTGAAGAGCCTCGTGAAAGAAAAGCCTTACTACAAGCTAGGCGAATTTTTGTAGGACGATTTCTGTGTCCCAAGACCATTGTCCAACCCACTTGTGGGACACAAGTAAACTTTTCCCTCATGGAAGTTTTGTATATATGTAAATAGCCTATATGTTTATTGTAATGACGCAGCTAATCCAGTATAAATCTGGTCTTAAGCATAGAATGAGGTAATAAGGTAGTTATTTTGGCCTCCAGGGGCATGAAAACGAAAACGTTTATCCGTCCAGGGCAAGGTCTTACCATGAGAAATATGGCGATAGCGTATTTTATATATAAGGAATTCGCTAAGGTAAATGAATAAGCTACGTTTGGATGCCAAACAAAAATTTACAAGTTCTAAACAATAGGTAAAATAGTGCGCTATGTTTGTTATATCACAATAACAAACAAACAAAACAAATAACAGCACAAGATAATTGATTTGAACCCATCGTTATGATTCATTGGATACAAATTTAGTGTTGAAATAAAGTTTACCTACGACCGATTTTTAGAGTAGCCGTATCAGTTCAGTTCTTAGAATTGAAAGGTTTCTCATAACAGCATTGTGTTGTTGTTTTGTTTCTTTCATAACAGCATTGTTTACTTTCACAACAACACGGGTAACAGACAAATGAGGTTCAAGGATTGAGAGAGAAGAAGTAAAAATGTACGCTTCGAATGTTAACTTATCAGCTGCTTAGACCAATTTAATTGTTGATGAGTGGTGCAATTATGTTTTGATACAATGATTCGTTGCATCACTGGCAGTGGCATTGAGGTTAGAAACTAAAACATGTACACATCGACACCAGCTATGAAAGGGTAAATTTTTAGCTTAACTCTCCTACGGTTCGTAGGTTTTTCAAATCCCTCAACAGTGTCAAGTGCAGACTGGTTTCAGTATAAAATTTGACGTGTCGTTGTCAAAGTGTCGGTTTAACGAGTAAGTGGACATAAATCCGATAATCCGTACATGCCGGATACGCACATGCTACCTCTACGCTCCTAAATCATATTAAGATAAATAAACCGCGATCGATGTTTATGGAAAACGTATGTTTTACCACTAAAAAGAATTGTTCGATTAATAATGAAAAACTAATAATTCCTAATTGATTAGATTTGTTCAATACGGTGACTGTTTTCCAGAATAAGCCCCCCCCCCCCATTAAACTTATAAAAACAAAAGCTAATAAATAATACTATGAGAGCTATAAAAACTTATGAAATGCTTACTGTACGTAGAAGGCAAGGCTTATTTTAATAGCTTTTTGAGTTTGTTCCTGAATGTGCTATCTAGGGTGAGGGCACCGGTCAATGACTGTTTAAGTTTGAATTTCCTCTTTTATGAGACATGGAAACAGGCTATTACACTACAGTGTATGGAGGTTTAAACGTCTTGTTCATATTAAACTGTACTTTCCAATGAATCCAAGCGTTGAAAGAAATGGGAAACACTCCAACAGCTGATCGTACTGTAGTTGTAGTATCCTTTAGTTCTGCTAACTTATTTTCAAGCGTACGCGGATTACGTGCCTAATAAACTCACGCAGTTTTTCTGTTGTTTGGTTGGAATACTGGAGTGCAACAAAAGTAAGTAAATGCAGCTATTAGCAACTACCTGTACCGTAATCAGTGCAAGGAAGCCCACTTTGTCAGCACTGTAAGAAAATACAATTTATCTCACATAAAACATTGCACCAGTGAATGGTCGCTTTAACATGTAATATGATTATAACATTTTCAAACTGTATTTAACCCCTCCTTTTAACCAAATAACCCGTTAAAGATTATCACTTTAAAGCAGGACACCCAGTATCAAAATAACCATTTCAAGATTGTTAACAAAATATATTCTAGTGTATTCAAAATATACGTTTCATGTAGAAAATTACCGTATAAATTCACTCAGTATAAAAACCCTCAGTCAAAGTTTCGTTATGGTCTACCCCATTATTTCTGATGGGGGTTTGTGTTTTCTAGCAATCACATAATCCACCATAAAACATTGTTTCCAAAAAAATCAAAAAGAAATTGATCAAATTCTTGTTGGCCGAAACGGTCATTCACTGGTTATACCCAAACAGTAAATAACAGGCACTTTAAATAATTGTTTGGTTAGGATTTTGACGTTAAAATTAATACAAAAATTTACCTTCATTTTTACGCATAATATATAGCAGTTTCCATCAATAATCAAAGAACCTTGGCCAAATTCAACCAACTTTGTTTGTGCGAGACTCTATAGTGGGTAGGTTACAGATTAACAGGCTGGAGCCCTTAATTTTTTTGTGCTACAAAAGGATGATTGACTTTATTTATTTGAACCAGTGAAAGGATATTTTCCTTTCAGGTTACAGAGTTACTTTTGAGGCCGTTTGTGATAGACTAAACAAAAC